AAGGAGGGCTATACTTTTAATCTGACTGTATTCGGTGAGGCTCTGTCGCACGGGATAACGGAATTTAGGTTACTGAACTATCAAACTCTTTACTGTACTTTCACGTGCATTGTGCGGAATGAATTTTCAAATCCTTCCGACCAGTTACTGCAGATATGCTGCACTCAACAAATGAGGCCTTGCTTTTCGTACGACTCTTCAGGATAATATAACGTGCATACGGCAGATCAACAACACATCTGATCCAATATCTAGTACTGTGCTTTGACCCATCAAAAACAGGATTTTCTCGAATCAGCACTGCATCGAAATGAGAAATCGAGTCGTTGTTTTTCATCAATTGTTTTGGACGTACTACGGTGAAAGAATCCGGGAGAAATCAGTTAATAAGCAGCCATAGAAAATCTCATTAAATTTATTAGTAGGCATATTTACAGCTAGTCTTTCTTCCCTGAAGATGAATTCAGGGTCAGAATTGCGTCACTTTTCAGACATAAGTGTTTCTTGGAGCACTCTCAGATAAGGATGGTGTCGTTGTTAATCGCAGCCTCAGAATTTCCGTCAAAATAGCTGACCTACCGTATCAACGCTTCGTGATAGCCATTGTGACCGACGTTAGTAACGCCACAACAACCTTTACCAAGAAGACCCTGGACGATGAGCCCCATCATCTACATGACGTGCTGGTCAGCTGCAAGTCCAAGGTGAAGACGACGGGCAAACAGGTTAACTTGATGCACGACAGAACTGAAGCATTTAGGCGATCACCTCGATCGAATTCTGAGGAAATCAGAGATATTCAGGAAGTCAGAAAAACTGAACTTCTGCCGAATCTACTTTGTACAGCAACGTTGTTTGCAAACACTGCTGTAATATTGCTGTATACTTTCCGGATCTATGGCTGAAAGACGGTCAGATGCAATTGCTCGTAACAGTAAAGCTTGAGTTTTAACTGGCACAAATTCTAACGGCGTCGGTGTGACGACGGCTCCCTCGCATCGCTGTCAGTATTTGTAGTTAAGTACTGTAAACGCTTTCTGGACAAGATCCAAACGTCTAGCAGATAAACTTTAAAAGTTCCAGCAATTCCCATAAACGAGAAAAAGTTTTGGCTTCGTCATAGAGAGCTTCATTATTGCTGTCAGTCGACATATTTGTCAACGTATAGGACGAGTGATATTTAATGTCGCCTGTTTGGCATTTACGCGGCAAGACGGTGCGGTTTCCGTCCGACACCTGTTCCATCGAACTAGTCGCCCAGCTTACCACATCGACACAGAGTGATTAACTGCTGGCCGTCCATTCTGCACGTCAAGTATCCCCTCCCCGGGAGGCGAGCCTCTATGACCGCAAATATAGTACCGTACACTGAGTCTGTACGGAGGGGCTGCACGGCAGGTGTATCAAACTTAGCTTCGCCAGACAAGGAGCGGCTGTTCCAACGTGCAATCCGAACCGTACTTTTTGTAGTGCTGACTGCTGGAATCACAGATCGCATAGCTGCTAGCTGACAAGTAAGTTGCTAGCGGGAAGGGCTCACTGCACAACTCATTTCCCCGAGAGCAATAAATTCGTCGTCACTCGTTAACACACCAATTTGACTTATATTAAAATATAAGGAGTGAGGAAATAATGACAGACTACAGTTTATATGTAACATTTTGACTTACTGCAGTCACTGTTACACGAAAATAGCATAATTGGTTGACTGAACAAAGCAGCGGATAATGAAAACAAATTGAAAGAGTTTGTAGCAATCGACTGCAAAGAATAATTTAAACAGTCAGTGAAATAAATTACAAGAGCTTGCCGCTTACATTAGCGGAAACAACGCGTAAAACCAGCATTGTGTAACATTCCATTAAACATTTTGACGCATAACTGACATTAGGTCGTCTAAGTTATCATAATACGATGTAGGCCAGTTGTCTGGCCAACATTTTTAATGGGCTATTTATGATGAAATGTGATTCAATCACCTACAGTAATGCTGCCAGAAGTGATCATCTTAACAGCAATCAATCAAATGCCACTGAGGTTATTACGTTTTCGTTTTAAGTGAGTCACCCATCTGATGGTCGGCAGTGGGACCAAGTTATTCCAACTTTTTTGAACGACAGTTCATTAAACTATCTCATACAATAGTTTAACAGATACAGTGAACAATTTTTAGCACTGAGTAATTTTCACTTATACATTTACCGATGGATTGTCCATTTTAACCAAAAAAGCAAGTCAATAGGAAAAATTCAAATATTATATTTTATTCTTTTGGTTCTAACAAAAGCTTAAAAAACTTTAAGCGAGGAATGGCGATGATTAAAAGTTGGCGGTTGTGGATTCTAGAGTTCGCAGTTCCAAGCACAAAAAACGAAATAAGCATCTAATGACTGACCTTTCAACTGACTGTCCAATCAGTGACATCAAAGAAACAAATCAATTAATGTGCAGCAGTGACATTAACTTCTTTCGCATATTCATAAAATGCCGATGAATTATAAAGTGAAAGTTTATCGCATGATCAAGGTTACTAAATCTGTTTTTCAGTACAGATAAAAGTTTTAAAATGTATGAAGAAATTAAAGTAGAACATCGGTAAAAGTGGAACATGCAAACGATAGCATACACAAATCTATGAACAAAACCATAACAACAGATCTATAGGACCATATTCATCTTAGATTCAAAGAAAAAAGAATCTCTTACGCTCATACACAGTATTTGGCTCTATTAAAGAATCTCTTACATGAGCCTTTAATTACATCCTGTTTTTTTAATCGAAGTTGTACCTTGTAGCTTCTGACAAAACAACGTCTAACGGCAAGGCAGGGGTCCTTTTTTCTAAGGGGCGAGTCCATTTCACGTCAATAACAGATTGTGATTGAGCATTGTGAGTGTTTTCACTGAGGATCTAACTTGTCGAACTTGAACTCAGCCGCAACCTGGTTATATTACTGCTACCTGTCTGTGACTGCTTGTTTCTCGCTACTCACTTCCATGTCTGTCTGAAAATCGTCCTCCCATCCGAAAGCCGGGGATCCATCAGATGGCCAGCAGCTAGGCACATTGGAGATTAAATTACATTAGCTTTTATTCCGTAAAATGATCAACTTCAGTGAGCTAGTGTAAACGGTGCAACATAGTATAATCTGAAATCACTTTTCAGATGACACATCTTCTTCCATAATGATGAATTCACTTCTGCCTACTTTAAACCTCATAACATCTTTGGATCAATTATGTTAGACGTACTTTTCTTAAACTAAGAAAACCAGAATTTTAATGAAACCATCTCAAGTCGTCACACCAACCTTTTGAAATCCATCGAAAATAAGTTTCAACAATTTTGAGCAATAAACAGCGAACAGGATATAAAGATCTACAGTATACTCATAGCATACTGTACACACAAAAGTTATACGCGTAGCGTGATGCCACAGTTTCTAAGAAGTCTGCTTCGAACGCCGGACGTACCGGATCCGATTCCGATACAGGGTAATCTTTGTCTTATTCACGAATTCCCTTGGGCAAGGAATTTACCACACATTGCTTCAGATTTCGGTTGTTCAGTCGCTAAAGCGTCGAACTCACAGCTGATAGGTTGTGAGGGCAAGTACTAGTCAGGGTTACTTGTTCTTCTTTTTTCCCAGGTTGATAAATGAGTGAAACTATTTGGCAAGCACACTCGACACTTGTCTCATCCCAACAGGCTCTGTTTTTCAAACAAGACACTTCTGACTGATGCATAGAAATGGAGATCAAAGCCGAGCTGTCAACGACTGTCATGAAAAGAAAGGCGTCAAAACGACCCAGTCATAAAAGTGAAGGAAGATCAACATTCCAACGCTGACAAACATAGCTATTTCCTTTCAGTGCGTAAAAGCTAGTCCAACAACAGATAATTGATTTTCAATGTCGGCATCGCAAAGCCGCCGTCAAATGCAACTGATCATGGGTACTTTCTATTTATGATTTATTTAGTCGTTATGAAAATTCGTGCCAGAAGTTTTCTAGTTCCTAGCGAGGACACTTTTTCAGCTTCTCGTCGACGTGACCACAAAATGCGGAAGGAAGTTATTCAAGCATGCAGTTACCAGTAAACGTCATTAATCAATCCACATATTGAATTAAACACTAGACGATTAACCTTGAAGTAAATCGCTCTCTTGCTGATTTCTCACACTACACATTAGAATATGCCATGGGACATTTATGCGGTGTGAGAAAAAGCCCATAACCATTTTCAGACGTTGTTCTTCAAAAGTCAAGCGAGGAGACAGCGTTAAGAAATAGCATTCAAAAGAAGAACACGTACTTTAAATAACACCTATCTGTAATCCTACTCTAACAGTCAGACAAGTAAATTACGCCCAGTTTAATGGACGTTCTTTCAGTCACAAGAACATGCCGGTCGGTCGGCAACCGGCAAAGACCAGTGAGGACTTGACCATTTTGTAGAGGAGCCCATTAATATTTTCGCGTTGAAATATGCAATGCATGCTTATGCTTCTCTTCTACCGTGATAAGTCGAAACTGGGCTGATTGTACGAACTCGGCAACTCGATGACTGAGATGTCATGAGTGATTCAGATTAAATTCATGGATTATACTAGTTTGAAACCTGGTAACAACCTGCCACTTGTCTAAATCAGTGTTACTTTTCGTTACTTTACGCGACTTGTTGCCTGTAATATCAGCTGTACCCTGAATGTCTGACGGCATGCGTAAAAAACGTGTTGGCTGTAGCGTTGTTTACATCGGAATTGCTCATTCGCTCAACAATAAATCAATAAATCATTTACAGCACGTATTGTACTCGTTACTCGTTTCATTATAATAAGTGTGAACGGCTGGATAGGAAAATACGTTTAAATATGCCTAATAAAATAGATGATATGAAACAGCGATCAAATAAACCACGCGATCGTTTCGATACGAAACCGACTGAGAACCTGACTGAAAGAAGTAAAATGGTAAGCTTGCAACCATTGGAATGTTGGTCTTCCCTACGCTTTCATTTCAGGCACTCTTCTTTACATGAGGTTAATGTTAGTGAGCTGACCTCCATTTGCATACCACTGGCCAGAAATGAATATATGGAAGTCGACTCAACAGCGGCCACGTGGCGATCATAGTGTGCAATCTCCTGTTTCTCGCCAATTTATCAACCTTGAAGGAAGAAACCAGTGACCCAGCCAGGGCTCGAGGCCGGAACCTCTCGGTTCACAATCAACTGACGTGCAATAACAAGGCGTCAAGGAAGAAAACAATTCCTTATCCCCTAACGAGGTCAAAGAACAATGCTAAAACGTCTCAGGAATTGTGCAACACTCAACAGAGAAAGATCCCCCTCCAAGGATAGATTATTAAAGAAAGATTCTGGCGAATCAAATGGACGTTAAATGTCCAATCCTGCGAAAATGTAAACCGGTACAAAGGATATGAACTTTGCCCGGATTAGACAGATCCTGTCAAGTATGTTGCCGAAAACTACTTAACTAGCAGCATGGCAGAAAAGCAAAGGTTTACCTACGAACTTGACGGCAGCTGTGGAAAACAGAGAGAACTGCAGAAATCAACCCAGATCGTCTGAAGAAGGTTTATGAGAGACAAGCCAAAAATTCGGTATTGAATCACAAGATTGATCAATTTACTAGCATGTGCACAAATAAACCTCATTTCTACATTTTTTCAGTTTTAAACATATAGCTGAATTAATTACCGATCAAAGAGCCATGGAAATTTTAGCTATGAATATGCTTTACGACAAATTTGTAGCCATTGCCTAACAGAGTTAATTGAACTACCGCACTCAGCTATGGAAGGTAACTGAGTTTTAATTCGTATTACTGTAACATCAACACTAACCTGTTCTTTACGGAAAGGCTGTATTGTACAGCCGAAATATTACCCATGTAAATAAAAGACGTTTTAAAAATTGACGTTACGTTTGCGTCCAAAACTAGTGAATCGACATGTAACCTGTACCGCAATGAGCGTGGCACAAAATCAGTCGGTCAGAATCGATGACCATTTATCCTTCCGTGTCCCGCAGGCAGACGGACACACAGAGCTTCCAGCGTTCCAGCTCGTAGTTGTCCATCTAAGCTTCGGCAAGAAGATAATTAGTGTCTACAATAATGATTCAATACACCTACCTCTGGTTATTCTTGAATGCTCCCGTCTTGGACCAGTCAGTTGGGCAAGTAGTAGTTGTTTCTCCTTCGTTTCAAAAAGCAATCGCAATATCCAGCTGTGACTTTTCAGTGAGGCTGTACACCGAGGGTCTTCCGAACTGATCTGTTCTTCGGATCATGTCGAGGAGCATGATGCCAGCGGTTCATTTCAAAAAGCGTATTTCAGCCTCTGGTACACGGGATCGAAGTTTTTCAGTCATGGCCCACGACTCATGACCGTAAGTGAGCAGAAAGATGAAGAACGATTTGATCACTGAGAGCTAAATCTTCAGATTTACCTGTGCTTTAGTTAACGGTTTAACTAGTTTAACGGTTCAAGCTAGTTCACGCAGGATGTCGCTGGTATGAAAAAAAATTTATTTACGATATGAACAAACGGATTCATATTTTATAACTTTTACGACAACTGTAACATCAGCAACAGAAAGAAGCAATGAGAACAGAAGAAACAGAAACAGAATTTAAACCTATGCTTTTCTAACGTTACTTGAAAGCTTAACGCATGAGTATTCGCACTTCAGAAGTTCTGCGATAAAGTAAGCTTCAAACACTTCGCAGTGATCGTCTTAAACCACGACGTACGAGAAAAAGACTTCAAGGCGTACTTTCTGACCGGACACAAGCACTGGTTGTGGGTGCAGTACGGCGACCCTGTTATACAGTAAGAAAAGCATTCATAACTGAATTACGCGTGTTTATTATAATAGGTGGGCGCGCGGATCATTTCAGGACCCTGAAAGACGAATACAACGTGTACGGCATTCCGACGCTGATGGTGGTGAACAACGTAGGCGACGTACTGGTGAAGAACGCAAGGAGTGAGATTCAGCAGAATCCGAAGGGCTCTGAGATGGTGCTAAATCGATGGCAGAAGCTGGCGGGTGTATGCCCCACGTCACCGACGGTGATTCCGACCAGAAACCTGTTCAAAAAGTTGCAATGTTTTGATGTTGACGATGACCAGTGATGCGTGACAGAATTGGTCACATCACTCACGCATGGTCTTAGGTATGATCTATGAGAAAACAACCAATTTGTCGTGCAAACGCTACTCATCTCACTGAGACAGCAAAGAAAAGTAGAGAAGAAAAGCATACACGCAGACCACAATTCGGAGAAAACCTTTTGGGTTTGAAAAACAAACTTCAAGCATTCGTCATACACATAAGTGTTGCGATATTCTTTTCAACATGATGCCTAATCGAAGTCGACAAGTAAACGTTGTAGCTCAACATACACAGCAAAACAGAAAAAAATTATGAACTATACAACTTGATGTAACCAACCGTTGTGTATCTCCGCTTTCATGTTTATTAGCAAATATGAAATTCACAAATCTCCACAGAGTATAACAGTACAAAAGAAACAAAGCTGTGGAAGGGGCAATGACGGCTTTCACTTCGAGCTTAGGCGAGAACCACATGCCCGTTTGACATAAAACTATGGCACAAATAACCTTCTGACCAGGACATCGCAAGGAGAGCCAAAACCAGTTACGTAACATAATATCATATTTCGCTTCCTTCCCTTCACTGGCCTTCAGTGCACAAAACCGAGGTCATCTCGAATATACAAAAACCCTATAAACAGTAAAGCTCATAGAAACAGGAAGGCTTTACATGATATAACCGCTGTTGTTCCTGAGGCGACATTTCGGAAGGGCACCCAGCGCACCACCTGTAAAGTCTTTGGCAGTAAAATGAGTGAGTGAAGAATCAGCATTCACTCGCTGACATTTCTGAAAAGCGGGCGAACAGCGACGAACGACGACAGTCGTTGCTGGTGGTCACTGGCTGTCTGAATAGTAGCCGTCCGAGAGTCGGTTCCTGAACAGAAGGGGGGACGTCAGATCGAGAAGACCTGGGTGGTTGGGCTTGAACGTGCAGAACTGTTGCTTGTTGCCGGAAAACACACCGTCGCAAGAATCCAGCAACGGCATGGCGGGAACTGGGTCGTCCCCTCCTAGTGGACCGTCGCCGCGCAGTCCAAGATA